TATTTTGTGTTAAAATGAAATTAATGCGTTCAAATGCGTTCGTCCGGAGGTCCAATCATTCCCCTCCCCCCATCTCTTCCCAATCCTTAAATATCTAAAACCCTTATCCCTTAAAGGCCGTTACTCCTTTGGTGTTGCGGATGCCCATGGGCGGCGCTGATTGCTTACCATCAAGTAATCCGTCTGCTCGTTTGCCGACTTATACATTTACGACTTATGTTCCATTATTCCAAAGAAGTCCAAAAAGGTTTTACGGAAATAAAACAATTTTAATACTTGAAGAGGTTTTATTAAAATCCTTTTATTTCGAATCACTGCTTTTTATTAATTCTATAAATAAGTCTTAAGTAGGTATAACTTAGATTAAGTTTGATAGGTTGCAGACAAACTTACTTAAGTAAACTTATAATAATGAGACATATTAAGTTAGCGAACAATTCTGGAAATATTGCCTTAGACGATGCTTAAGTAACTTAAATACAACTAGAAACAATTATATTCAATACTTAAAAACAATCTCTAGATGATGTAGATGATATATAAAATAAATCAGCTATAATAAAAACAACATTACAAGTGCAATTTTTGAAAATAGCCTTTGTTTAAGCAATATCCGAAAAATAGCTTAAAACTTCTAATAATTATCTATTTATTAGTGACTTATCAAAGTCTCTAATGCTTCTGATAGTGTTTTATAAAATATATATTTGACGGATGGATTTATCAAAAGCTTCTTAAAGTTCAGAGAAATCTTGTATCGAAAATTTAAAAGAAAATATCCTATTAAATACATTATTGATACGGGAGCATTGGTAAACAAACACCATAAAACATTCATTGGTTTTCAACAAAAGCGAACGAACGTTAAACAGAATGAAAAACTGCAGTGACCCTAATGGCTAAAGTTACATTCAAAATGTACAGAAGAATCGATGTCACATCGTAAGTTGGTACAAAGAGCTATTTTGAACTGAATCATTAATGTGTGTAGTTTTATTTGAAGAACTACATATATTGGCTAAACTCTTTTAAATAGTAATAAGGTGTCGTGTAAAAGGCAAATTCGGATGCACTCAATTGTTAACTTAAGCCTATTTTACGGAGATGCGGTGATTGGACTCTGTTGTGAAATAATTCATATTAATCTCTGGAGAGAGAATATATTTGAAAATATTGTAAATAATGTAAAAGTTAATGATAAAAAATATAGCCACTAAACCAAAGGCAACGAATATAAAAATAATATATTTTTTAAAATATATTGACAAAACTCTTTTCTCTTTTAAACTCCTTTCATTTCTAAGAAAGGAAGGTAATAAAGGAGAAACTTATAAAACGGAATCCTTTTCTCGATTAAGTATTAGTACAAAACTTGGAAGTAATGAAGTAATTAAAAAAATCTCAATTAGGTCCCAAGCGGTTCTGGAACATAGAAACTAAAAACGAAACTCTAGAAATTGGACGAAACGTTTTCTTTTGTGGACCGATAAACGTTTTGTTGGAACATTCCAGATTTTTTTTTGAAACAATTCCACTGCTCGTGGAGTGAGAGAAATTTTGCACGAGATTTGAATACTTTAGCGGTAAAATAACAAAAAGGTTGGTACACGAAAGGAACGCGATATACGCGAATGATATGCACATTGCACATACTCGAGAAAGAAGAAATAATTTGAAACCTAATTGTTAGAAAAGAATGCGTGTTTGAGTCACATTCCATGTTAGAGATTTTTTTAGGGATAAACAATCGTATCGTATCGATAAATCATAAAGAAACTTCACGTTCTTTTTTTTTGTAATTGTTATTTTTTTACATTAAAAATGTAGTAGTCAATAAATTTAATGACCAACAAGTCATTCTTTTTTTAAATAGGCATTTATTCGTTTTTCTTTTTATTCGTTGAAATACGCCAGGTTTGCTTTTCTAAACGAAATATTTAAATAACAATTTAGAAATCAAAATATCAGCGACCTATTTCGTTTTAAATAAACTTTGTTCGAGTTTAAGTTATCTATAAAGGTCAGTTTTATTTAGGATCTGCAGCAGTTTCTGAATTTAGGATGTATTCCGGGTCAAGCGACGACAGTAACTTGAGCTGTTGTTATATTTAGCAAAATACTCTACTCGGCTAGATTAAAACTTTCAAGGCTTTCATGTTAATAAAACTTGATGTTTTCTTGAAGCATTCACTCCAACCCGATTACGAGATTTTCTGTACTTAAATGTATTAACGTACTAGACTTTTGTTGAAGACAAATAAGCATTATGTTTGTTTAATTTTGAAATATTACATAATGTAACACAAATAAGAACAATAAAAACATATGGTTTAACAATGGGCCAGCACAGCTCATCTACATATAATGATATCAATTTTTAATTAATATTAACAATGAAGGGAACTGTTTACCAATGAATTATGAAGCTAAAGACAGAAATTCCATGCAACTATTATAATAGAAAAATAAACACACAGAATGTAACCTAAAAATCTATTAAACAGAACGTGCAAACGTCAAACTCGGACGGAATATGAAAATCTTATACAATTTTGATAATACCAGTGAATGTATTAGAATTAGATTAGCTTAGCTTATATCTAGAACATGCCTTTGATAGTCGAATGGCACAAAAATAGAATTTATTTGCAAGGACAACGCAGGCACGATTGATTTGTGAGTTTTCATTACAATATTTACATAGAATCGTAATTGATTTCGTTTACAGGCTTACAATCTTAGATATAGTATCATAAAATATATTTTTACCTTAGTCAGCTATGAACATGTTTATTAAAACAATATTTCGGTTTGAATGACAGTCGTCTTGGTAGTCTAAAGATAGAATGTGGTATCGATTGTACTGGGAGTTACCATGGGTTACCTTATTTGCTTTCGAGTTTGAGAGTGACTCTTTTGAATTTAGCTACCCCGTTTCACGCCATAAGTTGACCAAGCCAATTCGTGCCGAAATACGGATGTCCCATATTAAAACTGCAGATAAGTCATACCTGACGAATGAACATAGGCACTTTAGTTTTACTTTTATTGGCTTTAGTTACATTAGGCTATAATTTTGATCTAAAATTTTTAACTATATGTGTATTTGTCTACGAAACAAGATTGTGTGATTATTAAAAGTGACTTTTAGCTGTTATTTTCGAGTTTCAAAACAATTGTAACAGTTGTAAGTAGACCCATGGTACGGTTCCCAGTAAGTGGCGTTTTGTATTCATATTGATGTACAATGTAGCTGTTTTCAATTGCGAAGGTTCTTTCTATTGTATCATTATTAAATTTAATAGCCCTTACGTAATTCACCTCCGTTACGTCACTTTCAGGTAAACTCATTACAAGATTGATTATTTTATTTTTAGAAATTATTCAATGTTTTTCGTTCATTTGACTTTTTGACATTCGTTACATACTTTATGAGTTTCGTCTAGTTCTTACCAAGGTCAATAGAATTTTATGAGGTTAATCGATCTTTTAAAGTGAGTTAGGTACATCTGAAAATTGAGTAACGGAATAATTAAATATATTTTCATGTTAAAGCTACTATGTACAATATAACAGTATTTGGCCATTAAAATATATTAAAACTACATTATTTAGAATATACGAGCAAGAATTGTTTCTAAAATTGATACGAATTGGTTCGATATTAATAAATAAACAAAAAATGGTCAAATTATAATTGTTAATGTTAAATTAGGCGTAATAGTTAATAACATTACTGATAATAAATATGAATAAGATACTAAAATTTTAGAAGGAGACAACAAAATATACTTAACAGATAGTAGATAGCTTAAAGCTTTATTGGATAGTAAAATATTAATTAACAAACAGGTAATAATAAATTCAGAACTTGACAAGATTTCATTAATATCAACCTTATCTAAAATTAATAAGTTTGCTTATGATATTAGCGTAGATTCGAAGGACGTACTCGACAGGGCCAAATTATTTGTAGATGATAAATAAATGGATTTACTTAAATAGCAAAAATTTACTTATATATTTTTTTCTACAAAATTATTTAGTTACATACCTACATTAATTCCTTTTTGAGGTATGTAGTTCAAAGGTATAATTACGACATGGATTGGCAGTTAATATTAAGTTAGTATTAGATGTAGGAGATGAAGTAAATTCTAGCTGGAAGGAATTATTCAGTTCCAAAACTGGTGGCTGAGTAATGATCAAAATGATGCTCTCCTTAATACACCATACACTTGTAAATTTATTATTTTACTTATAACCAATCCATGCAATGTCATCAATGAATAAATTAATGGAAGAGGTATAGAGGCAACTCAGGTAAAATTCTTTCTAACAGATAGAAATAAATTAATGTGTAACAGTCCTGGTAATGAAATTGGTAAGAAGGACAATAATTTTGATACTAATTATAGCACCACACATCTAAGATTTGCGCGTACGCACTAGTCTATCTTCTAAGTAATATGTATACATACGATAGATATGATGAAGAGAAGAGAAGAAAACTAATCTACTGGAAATATAGAAGATTATTCTATAACTTATTTCTATGTATTACAATATTCATTGGTACATTTCGAACCTCACACCACAATATCTCATTGAAAGCATTCAAAACTTTATCAAATTAGTGAGTTATTACTAATTTTCAAAGCTACGTTTCAATGCGTTAAGAAATAATGAATATTCAAATTATTCTGTATTAAAATTTATTTAAACTATCCAGTAATAATAATCTTTATCTTACTTCACAGAATACGAAAGATCTTTTAAATATAATCTATATTTATATATAAACGGAAACCCATAATGACTTTGACAGTCATAAATACATATTGGTCCTTAAAACCGTAGATATAGAATTCAATTACGCTTAAATTATACATTAGTTATAGTTAGACGTCTTGGACTTCTTGGTCTGTTCAAGTTCGAGCCTGACCCTCTGACGTGAACTTGTACAGACCCTTGAGGCATATCTACTGCTGAATGTAGACTTGCTGCTCTGGATGTTCTTGGAGATGGAACTACTCTGATATCTACTGCGCTATGTAAGCTGGCTGCTCTCGAAGACCTCGGCGTGTGGTGAGACATTTCTGATGGAGTGACGAGGGCTGGAATGTCTGCTGCAGACCGAGAGCGTCTCGGTGGACTCTCAGGTATGAGAGCCATCCCTCCCATGCCCATGCTACTTACGAAGACCGAGTTCTAGATATAAAAAAATGTAAAAAAGACACAATATTAGTGAAATAACAAACAAGAATGCCAGTGCTTCTATTTTTCCAAACTACTAAAACATGTGACACAGATTGAAAACACGACTACAAAACAAAACTTGGTGTGCTACCCAAGCCTGTGTTCTTAAAACATTATCAGTTTAAAATATTACCATTGTTTAAGGTCCTTTTCATATTTTTGATTTTGAATGTCCAAATTGATCAAGTCTTTGTCCTTACCTGCCGCGGTCTATGGGACAGGTACCCGCATGGTTGATAAGATGAGAATGATGCCCCGCAGTCGTATGACACACAGCCGCGTGACAGTGATGCTCGGTGCTGTACAAAGCAGTGGTTCATTACTAGAAAATTTCTTACCAAGCCTAGTCCTAGGGTGAGCAGTAATGTGCTTGTGAAAAACTTTAACATCATGTATAAATGTTAAAATTCCATTATTCATATTAGTATATTAATGGAATATATTTCCTTTATTTATATCGTGTTTATCTTTATTTCCAAATTTAACCTTATCCATTAGAAAATACAGTCCATTAATTACGGCACGATTGTTTCTCAACAGTCATAAAACGGTGTTCGTTCACAATGATTCTGGGATGCGTGTCGACAAATAAAGAGCGAAAAATACCTTACAATATCATTATAATTTAGGCATTCACTTTCTGCAGTTTGCTGTAATGAAAACGTTTGGAATGTATTATCTGTGGAAGTTTTTACTGTAATATCCTACCCTCATATTGCGTTCTGCATCGAATACAGATCCGTTAAAAATAATTAACCATGAGTACAGAACAGCGGAAACCGTCAAAGGTGGGTTCCAATCACGCAAACTAATCTCGTTGCTGTCAATCATATTGTATGCAGTGATTGAACCGATGATGTATGTGTAGATGAGATCTTATTGTTGTTGCATCGTTGTTATTGATGCTATTATTCAGAAATGCAGGTTAATTAATGAACCTTGTATCTTTATTTCAAAATTTAACCTTATCGATAAAAGAATACAGTCCTGTCTTGTTTGTTGGTATCCAAAGGTATTCTCTGTCATAATCCAACAGTCGCGCCTTAACCAGTTCTGATTATGTCTATCTTTACCAAAGAACAGTTTAAATAATAATTAATTAAGAGTTTCGGAGTACAACTGCAAGTCATTCTATTTCTTAAGCTTTATCATAATTAAGAATCAATTCGACAACAAAAAAACATATGTGCAAGCATGCAAAATGACCAATCAACTCACGTGTGGTGGCACGGATACTGAATTCTCAGCTAAAGCACAACTCTGTCGATGCTGCTGTTGGAACTTCGGCTGATATGGCTCCAGCATTCTATGGGAAACAAGATTCACCTACATTACATAATAACATGACACCACAGTTTAAATATTATCTGAAAGAGTAGGTTGTAGAACTCGCTCTTACTAATTAATTAGTGAAGAATCTAAGTCGTACCAGTTAAAAGGCTGGCATAGGCATCTTTATATCAGATCCTGTTGGTCCCAAAGTTAAGTTATAACACCCAGTTCTTACAAAATACGTTCCTAGTCAAATTTATCTGCTATCAGGAGCTGTGAAACATGCGATTAGTTAAGTTTTTTGAAATTTGGAAACCGAATATCACAAATTTTTATTAAGCTAAAATTAAAATCTAGTTAATTAAAAAATGGGATAGTCATTCTAACCTTTTGAAACTGAAGTTTTTTAAAAAAGATACAGTAATTTAGGTACTTAATGGAATTTTGTTTACACAAATGAAAAAGGCAAAAGGCTTTTAGAGGGAACCGTGAGCAAAAAGAATTTTACACAAATATTATTAAATCGGACGTCAGTCAGCTGACAAAAGTCGATAATAAATTGAATTATTTTCATTGTGTCAATAAAAATATTTTTGCATGCAAACAGAGCTAGTTTTTCAAAAATGGACTTTTTGAATCAATCTATATTATACACAACTATAATTATACATGCCACTTTTCGTTGTAATATTAAAATTCAACAATGCCTTTACTGATTTGGCTTATTTTGTTCTTAAATTATTCATGAACCCTGGACTTCAAAAAAGGTTTGTGCGTAGAGAAGATTTAAAAAATCTTGGAAGAGTGTAAATTCGACATCCACGCGTGCTGAGCCGCGGGCGACTGCTAGTTATTTATAAGATTACTATTGTATCTGTTAGATCACCTAGCTTTAAATCTAACCTAGGCCCTAATCTAATCTATAACATGGTAGGAGGCTTCCACTTGGAGCAGGAAAGGGAATGGGGAGGTTCAGGGTGCAAGTAGTTGTTTAACGAACCCCCTTCCCACCAATGGCTTTGTTACTAAAATGAACTACCACTTACAAATAAGAATAAGGAAGTTCTGCGTATAGTTTTTGTGGACAGCTGTTGTAGGTTTCAGGGATCAAATATGAACAACCTTGAAAACAAGCCTACAAAGTGTTATCCATTCGCAACGGAAAGCAACAAATGTCCAGGATGTCAAATAAATCTTAATAATGTGGATAACTACGTTAGAAAATGATGGCCAGTTTTAGTTATTTGTGTCATATACATAAGTAAGAGTAGAAATCTAATTGGCAAAAATAAGAACCTATTTTTTTACGGTCGGCAAACGAGCAGGTGTAATACCTGATGGTAAGCAATCACGCCGCTCATGGACACCCGCAGCGGAGGAGTTACCAGTGCGTAGCCGACCTTTTAGGGATTAGGGTTTTAGAGATTTAGGGATTGGGGAGGGCTCGGGGGAGGGAAAGGATTGGGCCTCCGGTAACGTCACTCACACGGCGAAACACAACGCTGCAGTTGTTTCACGCCGGTTTTCTGTGAGGCCGTGGTATCACACCGGTCGAGCTGACCCATTCGTGCTCAAGCATGGCTCTTCCACACTCACATTTAAGGGAAGCTTCTGCCAATTATCTTGACAAATAACAGACTCACAATTTTAAAATTTGTATTCGAATTTCGAATACGTTCCTAACTTTTATTTTTCGCACATACTATTTAGAAATTAAGTGACATAAAATTTCACTTTTCAAAATGTTGCATTAAAACTACTTTTCTTTTATGAAAGCAGCTTATGAGCCCAACGAACTAGCATAAGGCATTTTCTATTTCTCCTAAAAACCTTAAAATTCCATGACGAATATTCAACTTTTTACGATTGCTTTCAAAACCAGTAAAGATAGATTTTAGTTTTAAAGCTAAAAAGGTTTAAAACTGAAATATAGATTTGTATTCCAGTTTTATTAGAAATTCCTATGTTTCTCCAGACAAAAGCATTATAGTAAACAATTTGTTTTATATCAAATACACGATACAATCGCCAGCATATTTTCATGTTGAAGACATTTCAATTGCTTTTTCTCTTTATACTTTTTTTATAACTCGTTACAACTTAGTTTCATACTTGAAAATAATATTGGTTATATTTTTTGTGGCATAGGTCTGCGAAATCATCGCTTCACCAGCCTATAAGTGCCCACTGCTGAACAATGGCCTCATCTCACATGGAGAAAGTTTGAGCATTAATCATCATGCTTGCTCGCTCACCATTCGTGACAGGCTCGACCGGAGTGATACTACGACCTCACAAAAAACACAGAGCGTGCAAAACACGCTTGCGGTGTTTTCGAAACGTAAATGCGGCCACCGGATTGCCTCAATTCTCCCCAATACATTCTCCCGTAAAGCGAAAAGAAAAATATCAACTCATTACTCAAAAACTACTAAGCTGATTTCGATAAACTTATATAAGGACAGCCATAATGTAAGCTGTACTTGGGATTAAAAGTTCTTACAGTATACTTAAAAGTACGCGATACAAGTTATGAATATTTATTAAAATTTTCCTATTAAGAGTAAAGAGGTTAACTTAAATAGCCTAAGGTCTAAGTTGAGGTCTTTTCATCGTCGCTTTTAATAATAAAGTTAGGCTACTATCAAATTTAGTTCAACGACTTTCGGAGCTAAATATTTTGCTATCGGACTTGAAGTGGCTGTGGTAACTTAATTGCATTAATTTATTTAGAAATGTTTTCTGTATTAGTTTTGAAAGTTTTCTAAGTTATTGATGTTATTGACAACTCAAATAGTTGTTAGCCTGTTTGCTTCGAAAAGATTAGTATGGATGTACCATTAGTTCTATTTTTAGCATATTATGACAATTAGCAATTGACATATGAGCATATTTATCTACTGAGAGGAGAATTCGAAACTCAAAATATGGACTGACGTTAATTTTGGCACATGTCAGCGTCATTGTCAGAAGACAAGCACTTAAATGCCAGTTGTCTCATAGCGCTATGAGCGTGGTCATAATTGAATACTAAACACCGTCTTTGGCAATTCTATTGCTGACTTTGTTGATTGCGTGTTGTTTGGACTTTAGTTTTGAGAAGAAACCACAGAACACGTACATAGTCAGTACACTTGATACTGACTTTTAATAGTAGGTACAATTAATTGTCCATAAAATATATTCAACTTATGTAAAATATAGGTATTTTATGTGGCTTCGTAACTAGATGAAATTCTGATCAAAGTTTATCTAGGCAAATCGTTACATCGTTCAACATTTACCTTTCTATAAGATTTACACTAACCTAAATTACTTTGTGCCAAATCTGTCCTTAGCGACTACGTCTATGGTGCATTTGAAAAATGAAACAAATAATCTACGTACAGTTTATAGACGCACCTGATCTTGCCCCATCGATTGAAGAACAAGGCTATAGCCGCCACCCATAGCAGGAGGACGAAGGCTACTATTAGGGCTTCCTCTGCCCTCACCACCACACCGCTGCCATCTGTTGAGAGAAAGTGGAATTATAATTAACATTTTGTATCGCGGCATATTATTATATGGGTCAGTTCGAACGAAGTAATAGATAAATTATTCGGATCAAAGACCTGGAAAGCGTTGTAACTTCATTGGTATTGTGAGTATCCATGGGCGGCGCCAAATGCATGTCTTTAAGTAATCTAGTTTACAGTACCACCAGTAAATTAGATTAATAATATAGTATAAAGTAGATTAATTTTGCCATAAGTACCTACTGACTATTTGACCAACTAGATGTGCCTCCATCAGAGTCAGAACATAATATCGCTTTTTTAGGGTTCCGTAGTTAACTAGGAACTCTTATGGTTTCGCCTTGTCTGTCTATCTGTCTGCCTGTCCGCGGATAATCTCGGTGACCGTTAGTACCAAAATGCTGAAATTTAATATGTGTTTCAGTAACGCCGACTAAAGAATGAAAAAATATATTATTAGAGTAAGCCCCCTTACGCGTAAAGTAGGAAGTGATATTTTTTTTGTTTCAACTCTAACGTGTGATATATTGTTGTTGGTATTTATTTAAAAATGAATAGGGGAAAAATTATAAAATGAATAACAATTAACTTTTAAGTTTTAAGTAACTAAGTATCCACTTATCGTGACAGACGGGAAGCTACGGAACACTACACTAGGCGTAGCCCGATACGCTCTTGGCCGTAGCCTGAAGACAAGGCGGACATAAACAATGTACCTAACATCCACTTTTCTCTTCCAAAAATATTGTTGATCGAAACAATGGCTGACAGCTACGGCAGGACAGCTCACTCAGCGTGTTGGTGGGCTGACTCAGGACAACCATCAATAAATCTTATATATAAAATTAGTTTGTATTCTTATAGATTGTAAATATAACTTATAGTTTCTTTATACTTCCAGTTAATAGTAGTACGTCAAACCGGTATTTTTTAAATTATCAAATTTTAATAATACTTAGTGAAAATTGTATGACAACTATGAGAAGGACACGGACCAGGAGTCAGTGGAAAATGCAAATTATGTGTAAAAAGAACATCAATTTCTTTTGACCAGTAACATCATGCATTTGGCCTCCGGTAACCTCAATCACATGTTATAGGTATGTACTGGAGTGGGTATATGGGATGCATATAACGCTGTGGTTGTTTCACGCCTTTTTTGTAAGGCCGCGATATCACTCCGGTCGAGCTGACCCGTACGTGCAGAAGCTTGGCTCTCCCACGCTTTTAGTCCTGTATAGGCAATATCTCGGTTATTATGTTGTTTTTTACTTCATATTTTAGAACTTTAAAGTCGACAAAAACGGTTAATAAAAGACCTTGTAAGTTCAAAGTAACCACTAAAACGAAGAGCCGATAAAATAATTAATTTACAATCTTCAAGAAACAAGTAATTTGACAAGATTTACAACTCGATGCAAAGTTTCCAACTGATATTGTGTATTAATCAATTTCAATTAGTAGTCCTTTGTCTTTAAAAACACTTTAAAGTTAATAAAATTCACTCGATAACGCTGAATTACTGCATTCTTATGTATGTACTTATTATTTTCTATGGGATAGGGCGACGAGCAGATACATGAATTAGCTGATGGTAAGCAAACCACATCGCTCATGGACAACCGCAGTAGTACTAGAGGAGTTACCAGTGCGTGACAGGTCACAATAATTAAATTGTGGATTGGAGATAGGATGAAGTGTAGGTAGGTAACTTAGTTAAGTTACCTACACTTCTTACACTACACCTACCCTACACTACCTACCCTACCCTATCTATCCTATCCTTTCTACCCTAACCTAACCTACCTACCTTACTTTACCTACTGTATCTTATCTTATGGTCTTCTTCTGATGCTAAACTACATCCCCACAAATTCTCAACGAAATCAGTTCAGCCGTTCTTGAGTTACAAATAGTAGTATAACTTTCTTTCACATAATACAACTAGACGATATCAAGTTACACAGCCCAGACGTATACTTATAATAGCCTCTTAAAGCGTACCTACAGACAGTTCTTAAGCCGCGGCTCGGTATTGATTTGATTTGTATCCACAAACCGCAAACTGACAGTTTGACGTCTACACAGTTAACCCAGAAAACATTCGATAAGATCCAGTTATTGTTGTCGGTTCAGTTAAATATCAAGGCGAGTCCAGACCGATAGAAAGTGTTTTTGAAGACTATCCAACAGTTTTTGTGACTGAATGGCTTAGATCGAAAGGACTGTTTTGTTTTTTTATGAAGACCTGTCGAGTTTTGGAGTTGATTCGATAAATTCTTAGTCTCACCACAGAATGAGTTTGCCCCTTAGTAGACCTCCCCTCCATTACAAAATAGCAAAGTACAGAATTTGGAATTGTGCCTAACAAGCCTATCGCCCTACAATTGTCCTGTGACTTCTCCCACCCTGAGAGGGAATGTCAGACACTGACTAAAATGCACAACATCCCTCCTCCGGTTCCTGGCCGGTATTACAGAACAGCAATAGGATTACTCTCATTAAAAAATGAAGTTACGTAGGTAACTGTATAGTAAATTGAGGCGAACTGATAAGCCTGTCGGTATTTAAAAAAACGCTATCTTCTCAAACAGAAAAAACTACAAAGTAAGTTCAAAAAGTGCACTTCTCGTCTTTTCAAGGAGTAGGTAATATCCTACTTATAATAAAAACGAAAAAGTTTTTAAGCATGAAACGATGGATGCCTGTTCAGTATCTCATACTTAACTTAATAAAAAAATTGAACCAACAGAATGAACTTTAGCACAGAGATGGATTATAGTCGGGTATAATACGTAAGCTACTTTTTACCCTGGTACGAAGCTGGAGGCAAAAAGCAGTGTGTAATGTTTTATTTTTAAGTAACTTTTGAACGCAACTTCGTTCACATAGAAAAGCAATGCGAGCAGATTTTTTTCCTACTTAAGTACAAAACTTTAAGATTCTTTTTAACTATAGCACAAGAAGTTTCATTGAGATCCATTCATGAGTTCTAGAGATTAGCTTGTGCAATCAGACAAACCTAAACCAATACATGTCTTTTTTAATCATTTTCTTTTACCGTGTGCGAAAAGACGTTTATAAAAACTGACATATTTTTAATTAACGTTGTATGTACAGATACCTATTTTTATATATTTTATGGTAAGTACATTAAACAGATATTTTTCAAAGCAAGATTTGATTTCGAGAAACATTTTGACGACGTGCCAACCTCCCCACATAACTAAGGTTTTAAAATTCTTAAGTAAATTTTTATGTTGAACTTTAAAAGTGTTCCCATAAATTTATTTTGCGACTTCCTTTAAGAACGTGCTTTGGAGAAAATTCTCTTCGTAAATAAATCTTAAGTTTTACATTTCAGATTTAAGTCAAAGAAAATGTTTTTGTAGAATCATTTGACTAACAAGACAATGGTAAGTTTATGAATACAAAAGTTTGGTTTGTTTGCAAGTGGACACACAACGATGAGGAAAGAACGATAGCAGTATCTTGGATTAACACTCTTATATTATGAGTATAAATTCAAGTGAATCAATTCAAATGAGTATAAAATCTCAATAACGATCGTGACGTCACAATGGACTGTCAAAGCACGGCGTCTATTTTCCCTCGTGACGTCACAATGAACTTTCAAAGCCATCTATTTGCATTTTGTAGTTATTAATTATTTTATTTCGTCTATTAAAGTCCTGACCTTTCAGACACGTGTTATATTCTATCTGCAGCCTCTTTGCAAAAATAAAACAATTACCTATTAAATAATATTATTTAACGATGTAGTTTCTTGCACAGGTAACAGATGACAGGTGGCCATTGTGGCTAACAATGGCCACCTGTCAACTTCCGTGACAGAACATTGACATCTTATGATTGCGTTCAGACATCAATAAAACCATAGAGTTGTAATTTTTTTTTAATTTTATTTTTAAATTTGTACGAATTTAGAGCAAAGAATTACCGGCAGGCGCAAAATCACCACAACTTACGGTAAATAATATTATTTCACGATTATTTAATCCCATAGACTCTCTCACATCCTGCCACTCTCTTTTTCTGTCCACTTACCGATGTCAGCTAATGAGGCGTTGACACGAGAAGTCGAGGAAGGTGGATGTAGCCGCAGCACTACTTCTGCGGGAGGACCACCCGTTGCACCGCTCCATTCTATAAAAATATATCCATTAGATAGGTTATAAAATTTATGTACCAAAGTGGCCCTACAAGAGCCTAAAGCTCTGGTGCTTATTATTTCTGTTGGTATTACTGTTATAATTTTTTTTTGAGGCGGGAACGTCTTTAAATGAGCTTATTCCTGGGCTGAGCTTATTCCTGGCTTATTCGTGGGGCAAGAGGGGGCGTGAGACTCTTACTGACTAAAAACCACCCGGTTACTTCTCCTGCTCCAGGCCAAGGCCCCGGTAACCTTGGCTGTTCTGTAATAATGTTGTTCGTTCTGACTCGTGTGCTGGGAAACTTTAAGCTCCCTAAATAGGGGAGGTTTTTATAATTTAATTTAATAATTTTAAACGATCCATTTTCATTTATGATGTTAGGTTAGGTTAGTTAATTAAAATTAAAATATTTATTATAATTTGAAATTCGACTTTTAAAAACTATCTTACCGGTTTTTCAACCCAGTATTTTTTCACTAAACTTTATTAATTCGAACAAAAGCTATAACAATTCACTACAGAGGGACCATTTTCTCCCGGTCAACTTTTAGTTAGTTAATGTAGAGATGAAAGTGGTTGATTAAGCTCACTTTATAAATTTTAGAATCGTATTTTAACAATCTGCGGGAGCGCCTTGCTTCGGCACGAATGAGCTAGCTTGACTTGACCGGAGCGATACCACGGCGTTTCAGAAAACAGACATGTACAACGAAGGGTTGTGTTTCGCCATGTGAGTGAGGTGACTGGAAACCAAAACCCCCAATACCTTCTCAATCCCTATATCTCTTCATAATCATTACATTTAGTTAATAACCTAAAACGATATACCATAGTTATATAACTCATAAATAATTGACATATGAGGAGGCCCAATCCTTCCCCTCCCCCAAACCCTAAATCTCCAAATCCCTAATCCCTAAAAGGTCGGCAACGCACTCGTAAATCCTCCGTTGTGAGGGTCCATGGGCGGCGCTAATTACTTACCATCAGGTTATCCGTCTGCTCGTTTGCCGACCTATCACATACAATAAAAAAAAATAAAAAAATACAAACACAGACACATAACTTGGACCCAAGACTATAATGAACTTTACATAATAAACATCACATAGATGCATATTATATCATACAACCCTCATGCTGTCATGACAATACCGATGTCCTTCAGAACCGACTATACATAAACTAGGTCAGAAGTTGATGTTTAGCCGGGGTTGTAAGGTAAGCGCAATGAGGCACCGCGGCCTCGGCCTAGAGCAGGAGAACGGACAGGGGGGTTTTTAGTCAGTAAGAGTCTGACACATCCTCCCGCCTCATTCCGATGGGAGAAGTCTTTTGATATTTTTCCCATAACCAAAAGTAGACTTAAAATTTATTTTGATATTTCTTGCTTTGTCGGTTTCTCCATTTTAATGGGTTACCGTATTTGTAAGCATCGAATTTTTTCTATTTTTAAATTTGGAATAGATATTGCAATCCTAATCTAATATTGTTATTTTGAATTTGGTGAGTGTTTGATAGACAACCTACCAACATAACTCAGATCGGAGCTAAAAGCCATCATAAAATAATAATCTTGTCTTTTTTTAATCATTATCTCATATCAGGATTTTCGCCTGTATCATGGGTATGTTTACAAAAAATAGAAATTTTACATACTCATCACAGCAACTTATGGACTACACATAGTTTTGTTTAATGCCGGGTTTGAAACTCGCTCAGCCAATTTTCTAACCACTTCAACTAACGATACTTATTGCTTTTTATCTAGAATTAGTCATACTAAACTAATACATAATACTTCTTTGAGTAGTGTATAACTACTAAGGTTTTCCCAATATTGACTACAAAATGAAGAAAGGCGAATTATTATGCCTGTCAAAGCTTATAAACACTGACTTTTGATAAAAATACTGACTACGAAAATAAAATTTTATTACCTTGCAAGTTCTAGTAAAAATGCAAATACGTAAGTTTCATTTAAAAACGAAATAATATTTTAACTGTAAAAATAAATATTTTTCAAACCACTAGTTTTGTGCCTAGCTCAAACCACGTTCTAATCCTAAATCTGAAACTTGTGTGGCATGCATTGGCTATAAACATAGCATGCGGCGGCCATAAATTTATCTTTATTTATAGCCACGGGGCTTTTACACAACAATAAAGGCTATTTAGATTTACCTACATAGAGATATTTGGCAGTACCTAACACTATTCTGCATTTTGTTGTTGAGGGGAGAAAAAGAAAATCATCAATGAGTTCTCCTGACCTGGGAGCGAGGCAGTGTCAGACTCTTTTGACTAAAAACCATAGGGTTCCATCCCCTATTCCAGGTCTATTATGTTACTTGCTACTCCTGCGCGATTTAACTCGCTGCTCGGCTCCATTTCATCGTAGCGTGATGTTTTATAGCCTATAGCACTCAGAAATATTGTAGCTGTATTCATCAGTGAAAGAATTTTGAAAATCTGACCAGCAGTACCAAAGATTACCCATTGGTTCTCATCTGGACACTATTCTGCTCGTGTCGAAATCTATACTAATATTATAAATGCGAAAGTAACTCAGTCTGTCTGTGAGTCAGGGGAGAAAATCATCAATGATTTCTCCTGACCTGGAAGCGATGCGGTGTCAGACTCTTACTGACTATAAACCATGCCGTATAGCGCTTCACATCGGCTCTATTGGGCCCCATCTGGACTCTATTTTGCTCATGTCGCAATTTGCTATATAGCTGTTTTATGATTTTGATTTTTTTTTTTGTCAATAATTATCATCATACTAATGATTTTGCTTAGAAAATCCTTTATTCAAGAAACAAATATGTAAGAAGCAGAAATTTCTATTAGATACATCGTCATTGCTCGCAGAAAACTGCATTCATAGAACAAAGACCTTGAGCAAAGGCTTTCTTATTAAGATGGGTTCAATAATAAATCCTAAGCATTGCATCTTTCGGATTCGGTGGATTGCCGAGTTTTAGGACTAACCTGGGGCCTCCTACTTGGAACTAACTAAGAAAACAATTACTTAAATTAAACTTTTAAAAAACACGATTCCGAGGAAGTCATTTTTTGTTTTTAGAGTTTTAGATTTAGCAATTAAGGTTTCAAAAACTAAACATGTATACGACGATGCCTTTTTTAAAATTTTATATTTTACCTATATTCGATTCTTAAAACATGTATTATCAACATGTTATGTATACACACATTTATACATTCCAAGCTAAATAAAAGTTTGTACCTTGTAAAATCTAATCTTTATATAGTACATAAAAATTTCGTGTCACGTGTTTGTCCGCGACGGGCTCCTAAACTACTAAACCGATTTTAAATTTGATTTGCATTCCGTGTACATTTTGATTCAACTTGAAAGATAGGATAGCTTACATCTCAATTTATAGTCACAATATTATTTACCTTCGCCACAGCAACGTCTGGCTGGGTCTGCTAATATATGTATACCGTAGTCAAAGAAGTACCGCCATTTTAACACCTACATCTACCAAACTAAATTCAAGTCACACATCTTAATGAAAGTTTAGCATGTGTCAATGCTATTGTCGTCTCCGTGGGCGTGGCGAAGGTACGGGATCCTAAACTTCCATTCAAACTGCTACGGAACTGTCGTAAAATAGGAACGTTATTTGGCCACTGTTTTCGTTCACAGTTGGCTTAGTAAATATGCTTCTAGTTGAATAGAAGTTTTATGGATTTTGGGTGTGTAAGGAAACTTATAAGTTATCGTTTATCGTTGGAAATGTTCTTGAAAGCGTTTAGATGGCTCAGGTTTTCGTACATCATTTTTAAAATCGTAGTAATTACTGAATCTATATTACCTAATAGAATTTGATACTTATATTCTACTACAATACCAATAACAATATCAGCCCTGGTTTTTTAAAGTATTGGTAAATGGATGTTCTCCACTTTCTCTTTCATGTAAAAACTATTTAACGAATCGAATGAAATTTTCCAAGAAACTTCAAGTGAGCAGCGACGTGATTTTTCTGTCTCTTTAAAGACATTTTCAAAAGTGCGTACTTAATTAATTTTGAGATTTAAGATGGTTGTGTGTGCGCATATTTTTAATAAAAAAGTGTGCTTATATTAATTATTGAATGATGCCTATCATTTTGAAGTAGTGAAAGGCGTGCATGTATTTTTGTTTGAATGTCAATCATTGCTATAAGCTGTAAAGGTATGGGATTATGCTTTTGATATTTGGTTGTCGGATGTATATATCTGCGGATTAATTTCAAGAATATTATACAACCCAATATTATTATTGTTAGTGTGGCAGAGCCGTGCTTCGGTACGAGTGATTCAGCTCGACCGTTGTGATTCCACGGCCTCACAGGAAACCGTCATGAGAGATCCACTGCGAAATACCCGTACCGTAATCCCCTAAAAGGCCAGCAACGCAGTCGTAACTTCTTTGGTATAGCGAATGTCCATAGTGTATGCAATTTAATAGATACTGTGACTAGTAACTAGACTTATATTTATATAACATTGTAAAGAACATGTAAGGAAATAAATTCATTGTTTCATTGAACGTGTCCTCCATCCTTCTGGCCTCCGGTAAGAACTCGCACTGCGAAACACGAGGCCGTGGTATCACTCGTCACTAGTTGAGTCAGCCCATTCGTGTAGAAACATGAACCTCCTACATTTCTGCGTTGGTCTTATACGTACACTGAATTTTCTATATATTCTGTTGGTCGACTTGTCAATGCTACTTGGCTTATAGCACTGTATCTCACGGACACAAAAACATTAAATCGTTTCTGGATTTTGATGTGTGAACAAATCTACTGATCAACTAGTAAAAGCTTTACCACTCTCACCGGCGGAGATGCGCGACGAATGTGGCTGACTTCTTCTGGTAGACTTCTCTTGAAGGTCTGGACCTTCTGTTACGGACGTTAACGTATCTGTAACAATACAAAACAAATATATAATAAACATATCACTTTAAATATAATATTATGATTTTTTGTTCGGTAGTCACGCTAAAACTCTGAAACAGCTAGACCGGCTTAGTTCATCTTCATCTTGCAATATCCAGGAGTCAGAAAGGAAAGTCCAGAGAATGTCTAAAAATATGAAAGGTCTGAAAATATGGCTAAATTGTAGATAGAGAAAATTATGAAACATATATATTTTTTTATCATACAAACTGTTCTATAAGTGATATATCCTACTATGTTAGGACAAGAAACAAAACTGTCACTATACAGAGATTTTAGTGAGTGATATAGGTAATTAATTCCTCAATGACATATAAATATTTAAGTTAAGTAGTATTATCAATTTCAAAATATTTATTAAATTTTTAACGATCATCTTCAACGATTATAATTATATCATAGTGATTTGACAACGCGTTCCTTCCACTAAAAGCATGATATATATAACCTTGAAATTAGAACAGGGAAGTGTTTTAGAAGTTAAAATAACAATATTGTAATTTAAAGTTTTGACTGAGATTGCAGCCTATATTACATTAGTAGGCTTATTTACATCGGTGCGTAGCGTTCCGCGCGCGCCTCAAAGAGCCAATAGACCACCACAGACGGGGCCCTATAGGGCTTATGTTCAGCCGGGGTTGCGGGGTAAGCGCAATGAGGCACCGCGACCTCGGCCCAGAGCAGGAGAAGGAACGGGGGGTTTTTAGTCAGTATGAGTCTGACACTCTCTGTCGCCTTAGCCTGGGCGGGAGATGTCATTGGATGATTTTCCCCTGACAAAAAAAAAGCTTATTTACATAAGACCAAAAAGAAGCATACATCAGCATCGATGGAAAGTGCGAGAAGGTTGGCAACATTGCCAGCTAAGTAGCCCACATTCAGAAAGACCATCACTTGGTGAGCCGGGGTTGGGCGTCAAGAACAATTGTGGACCGCGGCCTCGGCTTGCAGTAGGAGAAGGCACGGATTTTAGTCAGTAAGAGACTGGATACTCTCTTTTATTCTAACTAAAACCGAGAGAAGTAAATAGCTGGTCCACCCTCAACAAAAACTAGAAAGGCCAGTAGAAACAAAAACTGAAAATAAAACCTTTCCTATTTGCACAATAATTTAAATAAACATAATACGTAGATATTAGGTACAGTTTTGATAAATAAAAATTTCATATATTTCTCATCCCATTTATAAAGCTGGTGGTTTTGAAATTGCCATTTATGATACAAAACTAAAAACCTTTGTAGACTGGCAAACCGAAGCCAGTTGGGAAATAACCAGGCAAAATAGAAGATTCCGTTTGTAAATAAAGGTTTAGCGTAGTTTTAAATGCGGTTGAACTACACGTCTGCAGCTTGGGCTGGATATTGGATTTTAATTTTTTAAATTTAACTGCATAGTGTAGCATGAAATAGTAGTCTGTATAATAGTAGTAGTATGACTGCACGGTTGGCGCAGTGGCTGGGCAACTGGCTGCTGTGTGACGTGTCGCGGGTTCGATTCCCGCACGGAACAACACTTTGTGTGATCCACAAATTGTTGTTTCGGGTCTGGGTATGTTGTGTATGTGAATTTGTATGTTTGTAAACGCACCCACGACACAGGAGAAAATCCTAGTGTGGGGCAACGTTAAAAAAAAAGTCTTAATTTTTTTTGTTTCTAAAATGTGTATACGGGGTTTTTATCCACATGGATACGTCACCCCCATTGTACCTTATAACTACGACATATTATTTAGATTGTGCCTAATACTGTTACATGCAATCATAACTCGACTAGGGCCTACATAAAGGTATACAGAAACCTACCTATAAATACCTACACTACTAGAAATAGTAGTCAAAATAAGCTATCACTACATAATACATGTGAAACAAAGTAGCTTTGTCTGAACCTATAATCCCTATGTATGCTTAATTAAATCTGTAACATACGCAACGCATTTTTATTACATACGTAACGTTGATTTCGTGTGTACGTACATGTTATTTTATCTTTGACCAGCCACGTTTCATCCACTGCTTGGCTTCTGTTGATCATAGTGTTTTTAATAGAATAATGGTATTTTTTGAAAATATAAATTGTAAAATTAGATGGGTCCGACACCAAAATAATTGTTTTAAAATTATCAGTGAATCCGGAGATTAACTCGTTCAAACTCTTCAGGTCATTCTCTCTCTCTCTCTCTCTGTGTTTGTGTGTGTGTGTATGTGTGTGTGTGTGTGTGTGTGTGTGTGTGTGTGTGTGTGTGTGTGTGTGTGTGTGTGATACTGTGATTACTCACATCTTATCTATTACTACAATATTATAGTATCTATTTCCGACAATACTAGTTTCCATCATTCCGACAATTCATCATCATCAATTCAACAGCTTTTCTTGTTTGATTAAGCAGGTTCTAGTACCACTTCAGACATGGTAATGGGTGCAATGAAGTACTGCTCGGCTGGGTTGGTATGGTTTTTAGTCAGTAAGAGTCAGACACTCCCTTTATCCCCACTTAGGATCGGAGAAGAAAATGTATGATTATCTCTCTCTTAAATAAAGTATCTATTATAGTTCTTCTTATTTGTAGAGAAACTAGAATAGGTACTCTCTCTCTCTCTCTCTCTCTCTCTCTGTCTCTCTCTCTTTCACTTCTACTACTACTGGCACGTTCATTTAAGAAACACCGTCTCCCGGTGTTTAAATTAGCATTGAGTACTTAAAAGTTCTCCAAGTCTCGCCTAACATACTACCCGTCATGTTATACCCTATTGACATGAGTATGTAAGGCCTTTACACTGCACGTAAATTACGAACTTTGCGAAAGTTTCAAGTATTTAAGGCATAGCAAGCACGCAATCTTAGGAATTCTATTATTATTGCTAACAACTTTGAGATTGCGTAGGTTGGTTTCGGAACTACTTACTATAGACTTAGCTTAGGCTTAGACATTAGTATTAAGTTCTTGTGGCCGCTGATATTCGTTTTAGGGTTATTTACTAAATCTCCTCTGTGTATTTATCAAATCTTTCTTCTACAAGAAAAAGATTTTTCGGAACTGGAATATACATTCAAAAGAAGCTGTTAGCGTAGCCCATGGACATCGAGAACATCAGAATAGAATAGAAAAAGTCTTTATTTGCTTAGAATGCAAGTTCATATATGTATGAACTTGCATTCTATGTATGAACTTGCATTCTATATGTAGTATGATAAATATAAGCGTGTATATTCTGGGTTTTTGGCATTTGGTATTTATCATTCTTTTCATTCCTTTCACGGGATCACAGGATCCCGGACCTTTGGAAGGCATACAAGGGGCCGAAGCTAACTCGCAGAGGCCCGTTGAACAGTTTTTAATATAAATGTGATGGGACCTCAGCCGGCAATTATCCCTGTATGCACCATAAAAGTGCACCCAAGGACAATCCCCGGTTGATGCAGGACTATTAAAATGGTAAAAGATTATATTGTTATGGGTGTGGGTAAACGCATTTATTGGAATGTAATTAGGAGAAACTCTGAAACGAAAAACAACGCTAATGCTGTTTCACATCTGTTTTCTGTAAGGCCACGGCTTTCAATTCATAATATTCGTAAGGAAGCATACCTTTTTGTTATACATTAATGAATACTTATCTTGTAAACTGTCCCACACTAGTATACAGTCTTGTGGCGTGAGTGTTTACATACAAAAAATTTCACATACACGCCGAAAACAGAATCGAAACAACAATTTGTGTTTTTCGGCACCAACCGGCTGACAGCGCGTCAACTTTTTACGGGCGTTTATTAAACTTATTAATTCAAGAATTAAATGACGTTTTATTTTTTAACTATGCCTTTCACAGTCTTCGTTCTATCACTAAAGTATTTTATCACCAAACAACTTATTAAACATTAACTTAAAGAATTGCATGATCACTATTATCTATTACCAAAATAACCTACTCCTAACATACTACTAGCTCACTACACACTTATTTATTTCTATATTTATCAACAGAGTGAGTTATACATACAGAACCACTTCAACTTAGAAGCATTTCAAGGTCTGTACCATATATTTTCTAATTCGCGTCAAACATCCATTACTCACAGTTTTTATCCCCCTTTGTAAAAGCCTCCCTTCCCGTGTCACCCGTTCCATTCTGTGCATCGCTAGGTTGCTCACATATGTATATATACATATAAAATATATTGTAATATGAACTGCTTCCTTTGATAAAGTGATTGCAAACTTCATTACTGAGCAATATAACTTTATTTTTATACATACGTAATTGTGGAAGAGTTATGTTTCCGTACGAATGGGCCCGGCTCGACCGGAGTCATACCACGGCCTCAAAGAAACCACCGCAGCTTTGTGTTTTGCCGGAGGTTACCAGAGACTCAATCCTCCCACTATCCCCCATCCCAGTCCTTGAATATCCGATTCCTTAATCCACAGAAGACCAGCAATGCACTAATAACTCTTTTGGTGTTGCGGGTGTCTATAGGCGGCGCCAATTTCTTATTATCAGGTAATTAGGTAATCCGTCTGCTCGATTACATAAAAGAGGATTATTTTTTGCGTAATTTTCTAGTAATTTAAAAGATGCGATCGGTCTATGTGAGTAGCTTTTGACATAAACAGGGAACTTACTTTCTGCACCCGTTTGGGACATTAAAGGTATGCCATATTGTTACATGAACGTTACATTTATCTTCATAATACGTCTATAAGCCTCATAAAAGAAGACGAATCAGGAAGCCATATAAATGATGTAAAGCTTTTTAAACCGTTACGCGAAGCAATAACGTTTATTTTGTAATGAAACGTGTTCACAGTACTGAATTGAAGCGTCACTAGCGTACAATTTTAGAAATGTAGAATTTTTTATTGTATGTGATCGGAATTTTGGACCTGATTGATCACTTTTGATTTTATTACTTTTTATTGAGTGTTCATGACCAAATTGCCTGCCCTTGTTCAACAACTTGTACATTGCATTTTTTAAATAGTAAATATAGTGAGACTCAATTTATAGAATCAACTGAGAAAAGCCTTTCTAGTTTCAAGTCAGTCGACTGCGCAACGCGCACGCCGCTCATGAATAAGAGACCCGTTGTGCCTTGAAACAAGTTGAGCACGGGAGTAAGTCGATAGTTTCAATAAGTTTTCTTTTTTATTTTCACCCAACTGTAAGAAGAAAAGAGAACAGTTAAACGCTGAATATGAATATCGAAATTACCGGCAATGCCCAAAATTTGCTCATCAAATTGATATGGCAGTGAACAGGTGACATTTGTCGATGACCGTTGGGGTTGACGTGTTCTAGAATGGAGACGGCGTTTAGGCAAACGTAGTGTGAGGCGTCTCCAGCTAGGTGGAGTGACGCCGTATCCTCCTTTTGTGAAGCAGTCATGCTCGCAAAGAGAGAGGCGGCCCGCGTGAGGGAGCAATCCTCCTCCTCACGCCCCAGCAGCCGCAACTGGCGACACTACGGGCGTCGGGGATCAAGGGACAATCTCCGGCCACCGTAAGCACGGGCCTGCGGTCGGCGAGTAAGGGCAGCTCGCCGCCCGACCAGAACCAGGCCCGAGCGTACGGCGCGTAGCGTTCCGCGCGCGCCTCAAAGAGCCAACAGACCACCACAGACGGGGCCCTAAAGGGCTGATGTTCAGCCGAGGTTGCGGGGTAAGCGCAATGAGGCACCGCGACCTCGGCCTAGAGCAAGAAAAGGAACAGGGGGGATTTTAGTCAGTAAGAGTCTGACACTCCCTACCGCCCGGCCCTGGGCGGGAGAAGTCATTTGATGATTTTCCCCTCACAAAAAAAAAGCTAGATGGAGTGACGGTATTCCTAAGGTGGCTAGCAGAAGTTGGATGGGAAGCGCTTGAATATCGAACATCAGTGGCTTATTTATTAAAGAGGCCTATGTTCAGGATAGAGCCAGCCTGGTGATGATGGGCTTTCACGTCATTTTGGACGGACGTCATTTAGAACGGCAAGCTAGCAGGCAAATTACCTGGCCTAATGGTAAGCAATTGGCGCGGCTCATGGACACCCGCAACACCAGCGGAGTTACTTGTGTGTTGCCGGCCTTTTGAGTATCAGGGTTTTGGAGATTTAGAAATTGGAGGAGGGAAGAAGGATTGGATCTCCCGTAACCTCATTCGCACACCGAAATACAACATTGTGACTGTTTTAAGCCTGTTTTGTGTGAGGTCGTGGTATCATTTCGGTCGAGCCGACCCATATGTGCCAAAGAGTGGCTTTCTACACTTACTGTTACCAACCAACTCTTCAGCCCAATTACTGACAATCAAACCTCCAGATTTTTATCAAAAACTTTACAAAAAACTAATATTTATCATGCACTATATCAAATGAGTTTTATAATGTCCTATAATATTTATTTATTCAACACAAAACACAAGTAATCATTTTCCCATTTTGTAAGTTAAGTATCGGCAATCAATGTGAATGAAAGAATTGAGGGGTGAACGAAATCTATTCACGATAAAATCTAGTTTAGTAAACAAATGAGGTTATTTCCCTTTCGAGGCGAGGAAGATTATCTCTTAACTACAAATATTGCCGTGGTGGCCCGGAGGTTAAGGAGCCCGGGTTGGAAACCTGGCAAGTACCAATGTGACTTTTTCCGAGTTATATGTACTTTATATGATTATTTAGACACCACTGACATACGGTGAAGGTAAACATTGTGAGGAAACCTGGACTTATTATTTCTAATTATAAGTTTGAAATCGCCAACCCGCATTTAGCACGCGTGGTGATCAATGCTCTCCATACGGAGAAGGTTAGGTTAGGTTAGGTTGCTCAGCAGTGGGCACTTATAGGCTGATGACGACAAATATTGCTACGCCTGGAGATCTAAGAAGAAATGATAGACTGATGGACAATCGAATTGTGTCGTTAAAAGGGATTATTATTGAAACAAATGATTTTGACTTCGATTGACTAAAAACTCTAAAGAGTCTTACTGACTAAAAACCATTCCGTTCCTTCTCCTGCTATAGGTCAGGACCGCAGTGCATTATTGCGATTG